CTGCTTCAACTAAAGGGTAGAACAATCACTCAAAGTATATCTTTCAAGTATTTAGGTGTCTGGTTCGATTCCAAATGCACATGGGGAAAACATATTGCGTATCTGAAACAAAAATGCCAGCAAAGAATTAATTTTCTTCGTACAATTACTGGAACTTGGTGGGGAGCACACCCCGAAGATCTGATCAGGTTATATCGAACAACCATCTTGTCGGTTCTAGAGTACGGTAGCTTCTGCTTTCAATCCGCATCGAAAACACATATCTTGAAGCTGCAACGAGTTCAATACCGTTGCCTCCGAATCGCGCTTGGCTGTATGCACTCGACGCATACGATGAGCCTCGAAGTACTCGCGGGTGTTCTCCCACTGACAGATCGTTTCGCGGAACTGTCCTTCCGGTTTTTTATCCGTTGTGAGGTAATGAACCCATTGGTAATAGAAAACTTTGAGAAGCTGCTCGACAGAAATCCTCAAACAAGATTCATGAATCTCTATTACGAGTACATGACGCTGGAGATTGGCCCTTCTTCATTCAATTCCTCTCGTGTTTGCCTCCAAGACTTTTATAGTTCCTCTGTAAATTTTGATCTGACCATGTTGCAAGAAATCCGTGGAATACCAGATCACCATCGGTCGATGGTTGTTCCCTTAATTTTTGCAAACAAGTACCACCATGTTAGTAACAATAAGAGTTTTTTCACAGATGGGTCAACTATAAGCGCTTCCACTGGATTTGGAGTATTCAACGAATTTCATAGCGTCTCATATCAACTGCAAAAACCCTGTTCCGTATACGTTGCGGAACTAGCAGCCATATTTTACGCAGTAGAGCAAATTGCCTCACTACCATCTGATCACTATTTTATTTTTACTGATAGCCTTAGCTCGTTGGAGGCTATTCGATCAATGAGGCCGATGAAGCACTCCTCGTATTTCCTGACCGAAATCCGAGCTAAATTGAGTACTTTATCTAACTGCTCCTATACTATCACCTTAGTTTGGGTCCCATCTCATTGCTCAATTCCGGGTAATGAGAAAGCGGACTCGCTAGCTAAGATGGGTGCTATGGAAGGCGATATTTTTGATCGACAAATCGCCTTTGCGGAATTTTTTTCAATTACCCGTTAGCACGTCCTCACCAACTGGCAACAAAAATGGAATGAGAGTGATCTGGGAAGATGGTTACATTCTATTCTCCCACAGGTGTCGAACAAGCCATGGTTCAAAGGATTGGACATGAGCCGTGACTTTATACGTGTCATGTCAAGGCTCATGTCCAATCACTACTCGTTAGGCTCGCATTTCTTCCGAATCGGGCTCGCAGGCAGCAATTTGTGCGCTTGTGGTAGTGGCTATCACGATATCGACCACGTGCTTTGGTCATGCACCCTCCATTGTGTTGCTAGATCCGAGTTATCCGCATCCCTCAGGGCCCGAGGAAAACAACCTATGCGGCCCGTTAGAGACATCTTGGCGAGCCGAGATCTCGAATATTTTAATTTAATTTATGTTTTTTTTAAAACGGATCGATCTGAGGATTTAGTAGTTAGTGTCATCTTGTGTTCTCTCAAGTCGCTAGGTCTCCATCGGTGTACCCCCATGTTTGTCTTTTTCTCCAGTATGTCGCTTAGTTCTAGATTAAGAGCACATTGCTCTAAAAAACCTTGTGATCTCAATCCCTACCCTGCCACCCGTTTGTTACAATTTGTTACCCCTAACCTCGAGATAGCCGCGAGTAATCGGCCCCCGCTTTACTAACGTTAGTTTTAAGTAATCTTGTAACCCAAACGATGAATATCGGCTCCGCAAAGCTACGGCAAATGAGCCTGGAAAAATAAAGGCATTAAAAAAAAAACTTCCTGATTTCAGCAAAAAGGGTTATCTTCCATTTAATTCCACTTAATTTTGGTAGCCATGACAGATACGTATTTCGACTACAATGTGCAGTCTTCATCAGTGTCATTCCCACTAAAGAACTTATCAAAATCTAACCCCCTTAAGTACTCATCCCCTAGGTAAAAAAGTCAAGATCATAGGTATAAAAATGAAACTACAATGTGTTGAATCGGAACCTACCTAACTAATAAAAACCAAAGATTTAAGTAAGCTAAAGGAGAAAAATTTATACAACTCTCTAATAAGGAAATTCCCCAAAGGCTTGGTAGCCATCATAATGAAGTAATGAAATTGGGTTGTTAGCGGAATGCTAAATAAAACAGCAAAAAGGGTTATCTTCCATTTAATTCCTTACTTAAGGGGGTTAGATTTTGATAAGTTCTTTAGTGGGAATGACACTGATGAAGACTGCACATTGTAGTCGAAATACGTATCTGTCATGGATACCAAAATTAAGTGGAATTAAATGGAAGATAACCCTTTTTGCTGTTTTATTTAGCATTCCGCTAACAACCCAATTTCATTACTTCATTCCTGATTTCTATGAAGAAGTTGTTAAGCAGATAGTAAGCCAACTTATGCGAACATTCAGTTTCCGGAAGGTCACAAGTCTGGTCGTGTGGAAGATCCGGAACATCCGTAAAAGTGGTCAATTCATGAAATTGATCCTAGGACTCCACGGTTTTTTTTGAAACAACGTATAGACATCTTATCAGAATGAATTCGGAGTTGTGACCTGAATATGGCCTCTAGTGACTCCGATGGTCCATCGGAAGATCCGGAAGATCCGTAAAAGTGGTCAGTTCATGAAACTAATCCTAGAACTTCGCGACTTTTTCGAAACAACTTATAGACATCTTATCAGAATGAATGCGGAGTTGTGACCTGAATATGGCCTTTCGGGACCACGGGATGGTTCATCGGAAGATCCGGAAGATCCGTAAAAGTGGTCAGTTCATGAAACTAATCCTAGAACTTCGCGACTTTTTCGAAACAACTTATAGACATCTTATCAGAATGAATGCGGAGTTGTGACCTGAATATGGCCTTTCGGGACCACGGGATGGTTCATCGGAAAATCCGGAATATCCGTAAAAGTGGTCAACTCATGAAATTGATCCCAGAACTCCGCGGTTTGTTCTAAACAACTTATAGACATCCTATCAAAATTAATTCAAAGTTTTGATCTGAATATGGCCTCTGGGGATCACGAAATGGTTGATCGGAAGAGCCGGAACATCCGTAAAAGTAGTCAATTCATTGAATTGATCCTAGAGCTCCGTGGATTTTTTCGACACCACTCATAGACGTATTATCAGAATGAATTTGGAGTTGTGACCAGAATATAGACTCTGAGCACTACGGGATGGTCCTCCGGAAGATCCGGAACATCAGCAAAAGTGGTCAACTCATTAAATTATCATCGTATTTCTCCTCAGTAGCCACTGCCGACTCCACAATTTTCTTTTCCGCTTTTTTTTGCATTTTATTTACAATTATAAATGTAAATATACCAACAGAAGCAAGTGCTAAATTTCTATAATTCATGCTCATCCAGCGGTATATCGGGAACTTAATAATGAACAAGTACAATGATTTGTCCGAGAAACTGCGAATTAGAACTGAATATTTATTTTCTGCTTTGTTGGGAGTGACAAGTTGACAAATTAACAACGTCGATCGGGTAGGTTCAGTTTTGACATATCTGGGTGGATTCTACCCAAATTTGGGTAGTTTTGAAATAGCGTGTAAGTAGTTTTTATAAGTATTCTTTTTTTTTTAATTTCAATCAAACCAATCCCACCAAGGAGGGATTGCTCTAAGCAAGCCCGATAGGACTGGGAACATTAAATAAAATTTAAAATTTCAAAATAAATTAAAGTTAAAAAGACGCATCTGTGTCACTTGACAATTCATACATGTACCTAAACCACACAAATACAAAAGGTAAAGATCATTTATAGTCAAGTCTCTGGATGCTATCTTGAAATTTAAGCCAATGTTGACGGTCTAGAAAGCGTCTAGAATTTAAATACCAAAAAGTGTTACGCGATTTGGGAAACTTGAACACCCCTGGACTAAGAGAAGGGATAAACTTTTGATTTGTTTTCGGTGGCGAAAAGGTGATAGCGTCGTCACACAGGATACGCTAAGGGTCGGAGGATGTTTTTGCTAACAACGCTATAGTTTAGTTCGATGATGGAAGTTTGATAATATGAAACCAGGCCAGTGACAAAGCCTATACCAACAGCAGCGTTTGACAGTAGGCAGCATGTCCCGGGCTCAAATCGTTTATTTTGCAGTGCTGGGCCCGCTGTCACGGTATAACATGTTGCCTGCCACTGGGCTGTATGAAACACCACGCTAGATAATCGCGAAAAAAAAAATTTGAAAGGTTTTATTCAAGATTCCAGATTCAAAATTTAAACTCAAAATACAAAATTTTTTGAGTTGGAATTGAAAATTTAAATTGAAAGTTAAAGAAATTGACAACAGAAAATTGGGCAGTTTCAAATTTAACAACGGAAATTAGAGATGGGGAAGTTGATCAAAATTAAGAAACGAACAAATGAATAAATGAAAACAGGACCAAAATCGACACAGTTAAAACTGAGCATATGAAACTTGAACGATAACTCGTAAACGAAAGTTCCATTGCATTTCTCGGTACCATGCAGATCAAGCGTTTTGAAACCGCCGTGGTTGAAAGCAATTTCCCCCACTGGATGCAATTAAACTGGTCCATTGTTTGCAGCATCATAATTTCAAGACCCTCCCGCCAGCAGGACATTAGTGCGGCTGCGGCTGTCCTCTCGGGATCGCTCCACTCCACCCATCATCACTAATAATCCTTTAACAATCAAACGCCGACTACGGCTTCACAGTGCCGAACACTTTCTCGCTATTTCTATATGGCCCCATGCAAAAAAAAACCCGGACCGAGCATGCCTTCAGGAAGTAGGACAAGCAAAATACACAACCATCCACGAACGAACGAACACGGTTCCACCTCCCATGAGGAAGAAAATTAAGCACTATCTGCTCGTCTTACATTTTTCTTCTGTTTTCTTTTCCCACACCAGGCCCCGACCACAAGCCCCACTATGAAACCCCGCACCAACAACAATCTGGCCCACGTAGATAGCGCGTCGATAAAATCAATCAGCTCCGAAGATGTTAGCACGGCAACGGCGGCCGAGCGGCACGGGCAGGGATGCTGCAGTGCCGAGGCGAAGAATCCGGCCTTCAAACGGGGCCGTCAGATCCAGCTGACGAAGATGCTCATTCTGCCGTTCATCCCGATCCTGGCCCTGATAGTGCAGACATCGATCGAGATGATCGATATCGTCAGCTACCGAATGGAGGCCACCGAGATCGAGGGCCAAGTCACCATGGCCACCAATTTGGGCAAGGTCGTCACCAAGCTGCAGCTCGAGCGGTCGGATGTGGCGTTCTATATCTACACCAACGGCGGCACGCTGAGGCGGAACTTGACCAAGGGTTTCCAAGAAACGGACCGAGCTCTGGAGAACATGTCTTCGTGGCCGGATCTGACCATCGCCACGCTGAACGACGGAAAGGTAACGTGGTTGAACATGAGCGAGTTCCGGGCCGAGTTGACCGAGTTCAGGGATAACATATCGTCGGACAATGGCGAAACGAGCACGGTGAGGGACGTGCTCCACTGGTACACGACCGTGAACGGGGCCTTGCTGGAACATTTGACGAATCAGATCAAAGATGCGAACAAGAGCGGCGTGTGGAGGTATCTGCTGAGTTTTAAGAACATGCTGAAAAGTATCGAAAGTTTGGACATTTCGGCCATGTACGGGATCATCTACTTCGGACGGGGTGTTCTGCGTGTGGAACCGTATGTAAACTACATACAGCACGATATCGTGGGGAAGGAACTGCTAAACGGGTCGTTGAATTACATACCCAAACTAAAGTCAGCCTACAGAGATTTGACCCGGGGGACAAAGGGCTACGGAAAGCTGAAACTGTGGAGCTCAACCATTCGGTTGAACGTTCCAATTGATCCAGACATAACGATGGCCAGAGAATACTACGAAGCGATGGCCACCTACATTGACGAGCTGCGGAAGCTACAGGACCGAATCCGGTGGATCATCAGGTAAGTGTTGAATTTGCATAATTTTTCAATTTTTGAATCCTCTCAATTTCCCCCCCAGGGAAGAGGTCCAAAAAGTCTTGGACAATGCCGACCGCATGGAAACGTTTGGCATTGGCATCCTGATAGTGGTGCTCATCGTATCACCCATCATAATCATTCTGGTGCGAAATGCCGTTGCCACCATCCAGATGTACGCCGTCGACCTGGCGCAGAAGGCCAAAGAATTGAAACGGGAAAAACGCAAATCCGACTCACTCCTGTTCCAGATGCTGCCACCGACGGTGGCCACCCAGCTGAAGCAGGCTCAAACCGTCCCAGCGGAGTACTACTCGTCCGTAACCATCTTCTTCAGTGACATTGTGGGCTTCACGGAAATAGCTGCTGAATGTACGCCCCTTGAGGTACGTGAGTGTGTGTGTTATGCATATCAACCATAACAAACGTGAGATCCATCATCAATCAGCACACCGCTCATTAATATTCCCACACCCATCGACAGGTGGTCTCGTTCCTGAACGCCATCTATCGGATGTTCGATGAGCGTATCGAGTGCTATGACGTGTACAAGATTGAAACCATCGGAGACTCGTACATGGTGGCCTCGGGACTGCCGGTGAAGAACGGTGATATATTTTCTTTTGGCTTTGATCTGGCTTTTTTCTCACACCAATTAACAGGCATGCCTTGCGAATGTGGGCTTTTCCATGTTACAGGTAACAAGCACGTGTCGGAGATTGCAACCATGGCGTTGGATCTGCTGGATGCGTCCGGTTGCTTCAGTATCCCGCACAAGTAAGTGTGGGCGGTGATTTGTTTCGTTTGTGTTCGATGTCACATTATCCTGTTGTTTTAGGTCTAACGAGCCGGTTGAATTACGGGTAGGGATCCACACGGGCCCAGTGGTGGCGGGAATTGTTGGAACCAAAATGCCGAGGTACTGCCTGTTTGGCGATACAGTCAACACTGCTTCCCGGATGGAGTCCACGGGAGAAGGTAATTATGGTTGAATCACAGACAAACGGACGTAACGCATTGAGTATTGTTTTACTTTCGAAGTGTTTTTATGTTACTTCATACGCGAAGTTTGCGGTTTGCAGAGTTGGTTGGAAATGCTATCTAACGAGAAGCTTTAGTGTGATAATTTATTAGCTAGAGAATTATCTTAGAAAAAGGTAGGTGGATAGTTCCGTTAAAGTACGGCAGTATGAAAATTGAATAGAAGTTGAAAATGAGCGAAGGGACATTAATGTGACCTTCTGAAGATTTGAAGACATACTTCAAATCTCCGCGTACATCGTACTGGTTAGGCAAAAGGTGTGCGTTTGACTTTGTACTGTCGCATTAATGTCCCTTCGCTCATTTTCAACTTCTATTAAATTTTCATACTGCCGTACTCTAATGAAACTATCCACCTACCTTCTTCTAAGATCATTCTTTAGCTAATAAATTATCACACTAAAGCTTCATGTTAGATAGCATTTCCAACACAACTCTATTTGTTTACTGTCAATCATCGCCACTAAAACACTAACGCCATCTGATGAGTGCACTGGTATGGGCAGTACGCTCAACATATGGCGGTAGTGTGCTAACGTTAAACTAAAGGGAATTGGCTGTGCGCAACACAGGTGACTGCACTACCAACTAAGAATATTTTTAATTGAGCGTTAAATGCGTGTTCAAGGAATCATATGCAAGTGCTATCTGTACTTGAGGTTAAATTATTGTAAGAATCGTACAGCTTGAGTGCTGCAAGAATGGGTTAGTGGTAATTTTGGAAAGTTTGAATTGATGTTTGCCTTACACGCTATTCTGAATCTTTCCAGTGACTGGGTAGATGGCACCCTCGATGGCACCCAATCTTGTATCCAGTAAGTAGTTGTCAAAATCTGGGTATACTAGTGTTCTTCTGATGAGTGAAATCCACCCAGATTCGGGGCAAATAATATATAATATATAATATGGTTCCAATCGAAATTTTTCCCAAAGTTAAAAATGGCCCAGGTATGAAAGGGAGATTGTTGCGCTGTCCAGCGAAAGTTTTATTGTTCTTTTCTTTCCTTTATTTAACGTCGGTCTCTGTTACGCAATCTAGTGCCAATCACCGACGGACATCGATTGCCATCAATTGACGGCAATCGAATGTGCAGGAAGGCAGCTTCCACACCTGCGTAAGATATCGCACCCATTCATCAACACACATGGGCCGGGACCAACGGATTTACTTCCCTTCCGAAGGAAGACGTGACCAGAGATTTTTATGCCTCAGAAAAATCCCACCGACCTCGGCTGGGATTGAATCCAGACCCATCGGGGTGTTAGAAAGCAGTCACGCTTACCACTACACCACCGGCGCCAGCAAGTTTTATTGTTCGTAATATATAATTCTGCTAAAACGTTACAGCTACGAATATGTTTGGATGGTAAAAGCTACCAGCAGTTATAGTCATTAAGTATATGGTTAACTTCTGAACTTTGATCTTTCTTGAAATTCTCCAGATATTCTGTGCTGCTTTTCTCGATGCCAAATTTATATTGTTGTTGTTACTGACGCATTTTGCTACCACCCCATAGCTACATCCCTGTGGTGCATCGTTATACGCCGTTAACTGTCAGTGCGCTTGGCGCGAAGAGAAAATAAACTTTTTTATCTTTGCTATGGCGAGAACTGTACGATTACTAAAAATAAAGAGTTCTGATTATTTTGATGATTAACATGCAAAGTAGTAGATAAAGTTATTGAAAACATAGCATATTTGGCGACGAGAAGTGTTTCTGAAGAGTCGTCATTGAAAAACCGGAGTTAATATGGCAGAAGGCGGAGAAAACGACGATTTTCCTGGGTTCGAGGAGCTCTCCCACAGGAGCTGTTTAGGCAAATGGCGGCGCAAAACACGAAGCTGTTGCTTATTCTGAAGCGCCTTTCCAATCAGCAGGCGGCACCAGCAGCTAATCCGAAGCGGAGCGCTGAACAGATTGTCGAATCACTATCATATAGCAATCAAGGAATTTTGTTATGATCCGGTAGCCGGAATGACATTTGACCGGGGGTTCAACAAATACGAGGACCTCTTCAGAGCGGACGGTAGGGAGCTGGACGACGCTGTGAAAATACGTCTTCTGTTGCGCAATTTGAGCGTACCAGTTCATGAGAAGTTCACAAACTACCTCCTACCGCAGCATCCACGCGAACTAACCTTTGATCAAGTAGTCCAGAAACTGAAGGTTATTTTCGGTCAGCAAAAATCACTTTTTAGCAAACGTTACGATTACCTCCAGGTGGTCAAAAGTGATGCGGATGACGTCACATACGCAGGAATCGTAAACCGGCAGTGTGAGGAATTTGATTTGGTGAATCTCACAATCGACCTATTCAAAGCTCTGATTTTCATCTGCGGAATGCAGTCTTCGAAAGAAGCGGAGGTCAGAACGCGTCTTCTGTCGAAGTTGGAGTCTGATGCCGGAAGGGAGATCAATCTCGAAGTGCTCATCACGGAGTGTCAGCGGTTGTCGAACCTTAAACACGACACTGCGCTGGTGGAAAACCAAGCAACTTCCAGTGTACATGCCGCTCAGCAGCACAAGCAGCAGCATCAGCAACCAAGGCAACCGAAGGCCGGCTCAACTAATTTTACCCTGCTGGCAGTGTGGGGCAATGCATTTTGTCAAAGATTGTTCCTACACAAACCACATCTGCAAGCAATGTAACAGGCAGGGGCACAAAGAGGGCTACTGCAGTTGTTTCAACCGAACAGTCAACAACGCAGGTGACAACAAACAAGCGCCTCAACAACAGAAGCAAAACAAGAAGAAGCAAAGTCAAGCAAACAGGATTCATTCGGTAAATCAAGTACACAGTGAGCGGAAGTACGTATCAACCCGGATCGACGGCCATTCTGTGAAGCTTCAACTTGACTGCGGCTCGGACATTACCATCATCTCCGAGCAGAACTGGAGGAAATGCGGTTCACCCACTCTTTCGCGAACGGATCACAGAGCGAATACAGCATCGGGCGAGCAGCTGCCTCTGCTAGGAGAGTTTGCTTGTGAAATGCAGATCGGCGAATAGTAGCAACACGGAACCTGTCACGTCACGATCAGATTTCTTCAGGAAACCTTTGCCATATTCGGTATTCCGGAGACTATTGTCACCGACAACGGAACGCAGTTCTGTAGTGCTGAATTCAAGACGATGTGTCAGCAGCTCGGAATTATCTACATTCGTACAGCGCCATATCACCCTCAGTCAAATGGCCAGGCAGAACGCTTTGTCGATACCCTAAAACGCTCATTGCACACAATTGTTGAGGGGGAAGAAGTTCCCCTTCAGAGGAAATGCTGGGCAGGCCGATGCGTACAACATTAGATCTCTTACGACCATCAGCGTTCAACAGTAAGTCCGATCAACAAAGTCCGAAGTTTACATCGGGTTCAACAGTCTACGCGAAGCTGTATCAGAATACGAACAAGTGGAAATGGGCTTCCGGTACTGTTCTTGAAGCCATCGGCGGAGTCAACTTCAACGTTCTGCTCGACTACCAGTCAGGTCGGAGGAAGCTTATTCGGTCACACGTGAACCAGCTTCGACCTAGATGCGATGATACTTTCAAGCCGTTATCAGCACCAACTCAGTTCGACATCCTAGTGGATGACTTCGAACTTAAGCAGCATTCTTCAGCATAGTAGACCGCTATACAACAGAATATGAGATCGACTGAACCGGAACAAGTTAACATTAGCCAGCATCAGGATGACAGTTCAGACGACGACGAATTCTTCGAGACTGGTTCATCAATCTCCAATCAACCACCAGTTTCGCCATCAACATCGAAGTCTCCCAGACCAGTCAGAGATCGCCGGCTTCCGAAAGGACTGGAAGACTATGTCATCGGCTAGAATTAAAGGGGGAGATGCTACCACCCCATAGCTACAACCCTGTGGTGCATCGTTATACCAACAATCAATACGAAACTAACGATTTTAAATTGACTCACTACTTGACTAGCCTATTGGTCCCAAGCAAACGATTAACGTATCCCATTCTAGTCGAAACTCTAGTACTACGCAATGTTTGTTTTGATTCGCTATGAAAGTTTGACAAAATAAAATGAGGGGTTATTGGTTTTTCCTATGTTTCGAGGGGTGAATCGATTAGCTTCGGACCGAAGAGAGTACCAGAGCTGAGCCAAAAAGTTGAGCACGTTATTTCGGGACCTTCTAGTCTTAGAGTTACCTCTACACTCAAAGATAAATTAAATCAAAAAAGCTTAAAAAGTATGCAGATTCCCGCTTCACCTTATTGAGTCAGAGCCATGATTACTTCGGCAGTAGTCATGCATGATTAAAATCGAAATAATCTTTCCAGTATTAAATTTTATTCTTTTTCAATACTGATATATAATCAAAAAAGATTAAAATTAAATCAAAAATTATTAAAATAGAATAAAAAATGATTAAAGTTTATTCAAAAAAAGATAATCTACAATCTAATCAACCATGATTAAACTGGGATTAATATCAGATGCTTATTTTTTAGAAAGAGAGGATTAATTTTTAATCATTCGATATGATTAAACCACAGACAAACAGACGTAACACTATATTGTGTATCTTCGTTCACGCATTTAACGGTTGATTAGAATATTATCAGTTCCGCGAACTACTCGTCGCAGCGCTGGCATCGGATCACTTTGACGTTTCTATACATTCTATAGAAATTTTATGCAATATTGTTTGCGAGTTAGTGAGCAAGCTTGTTTTCCGCGAGAAGCCCGAGAGATGTCGTTGCTTAGGTCCTATGTTTTGAGATACTATGTTTTCAAGAAAAACTTTTTCAAAGAGTTACGTCTGTTTGTCTGTGATTAAACTGAGCTTAATGTCAAATTGCTAAATTTCAAGCAAAATGGGAATAGTTTAATTTATCAGTGTATGGTTATACCAAAGATGAATACTAAGATGAAACTGTCGGAAGAAAAACTTTCTATTTTAGTGTC